GGGTTTGCCATGTGTATGTCATTCTGTAACAAAGGTCCTGTGGTAAAGTAGTTAGAAAGCAAGACATTTTTAGTAATAATGGGCCAAAAAAGTATTTAAGGTGCAGCGAGGTGCATGTGTTGTCATACTGAGAATAGTCTTGCAGTACTTTTTTAGGAGAAAAACAAAAACAAAACCAACCCACAACCCTCTTTTCCCTTTCCGCTGCGCTACTCGAGTACCAGAAGTTTGGCCTATGATACTTGTACTTCATGTCCATGGGAAACTGTAAAAAGTCGTCTGCTTTTTATTTATCTTCGCGGTCTGTATCACATGCTGTTTATTAAAACAAAACTACTTTTGTTTGGTTTTTATCACACTTTTGAGTGTTAATGTACATACTAACAACTAAATTAAAATACTATGGTTGGTACACGTGTGAATTCTGAAGTGAGAGTCCAAGGATCTTCAGGCGCGGAGGTGTGATGTGGTGGCGTGGCTGCGCTTCCCAGGCGGGCTGGGAGGTAGAAATGGCGTAGGTCGGGTAATGGGGGGGGAGAGCAGAAACGGGATTTGCGTTACCTGGTGGGTGGGAAGTCCTAGGTGCACGCAGCATTCATTCTCGTACACGCTGATCCTCAAAAATAAGTAACTTGCTTTAGATGTGGGCCGCAAAAGTTGCGGTAGGAGAGCAGATGTTCCTGAAGTGTTCCAGCTGGGTGGCTTTAAAGCCGCTGCTAAATAATCTGGTTTGTTTTTTAAAAAAAAAAAAAAATCCTCTGTGCTTTCATTACCAAAACTATTATTTTTAAGAACAAACTAGGTTGTATTTTTGTATCCAGTACAAATTTTGAAAGAGTGAGTAGCGCGTTTGGGAGATTCCTCACTGGCAAGTGTAAGAGCACGGGGCCGCAGTGGAATGGCTTCTGTGGGCGTGCTGGTGGTCGCCTTTGGACTTCGATTGCTAAAGACCTGCTATCGTGGGAGGGGTTTGAGCGCTCGTGCTGAGAATTTCACTTCCTTGGAGGGATGAGGGAAGCGTCAGGGGTTTTAGCTGGGTCACTCTACATCTTTGTCCCCCAGTAAGCCTCAGGCTTTGCACACTGGTCAGATCTGCTTCGGATTTGAGAAGGGCTGCGCTGGGTTCAGACTCCCTAACAAAAAGCGGACATCGTTATCCGCACGCTTATTTTGAAGCTCAAGCTGACCTCTAGCCTGGAGAGAGTGAACCAAAGTACAGCTAGTGATTTTTTTGGAGTGGCTAGTGATTTTCAAAGTAGCTAGTAACCTGAACTAGCAGATTAAACTTCTCTTTATTGCAGCGTAAGCTGAGTTTTACCTTTCCTAGCGACTGTGAAATGGTTATGTGTGGTTACTGCCTTGTTTTAAAGGCACCGGATGGTTCAGGGAAAGGGGGTCAATGGTTCTTGTTCAAATGCACGTTTTAGACTTTGCTGCCATTGCGATGGTGTGAGTTTGGGGGCAGTTCTAAGTCTTGATCCCAAAAGCATCAAAAAAAAAATATGGAAAACTTGCAAAAGAATGCTGGTGAAACAGAAGAATGATTTGCAACGTGGGCAGTTTGCTTTAGCACGGCAATCTCCATGAGCCCTCTGGATTTTTACGCTCAGAGATCAGTCTGGATTCCAGGTTGGAAAGACTTCATCCGAAAATCTGACTCCGCGTAACAAAAAAGCAGGAAAACTGGTGCCAGACAGGATACCTGGGATAACCTCCTGTGTGTCCTTTTAACCACTAACGAGCCCGCCCCCAGCAAAGGTTATCGCAGCTACACTTACTGCTTTCACTGAAGAAAGGTTTACTCCACTCTCCGTATTTTGGTAAGGATACGTCCCTCTAGTTGAAATGAGCACCCTCTGCGTTGCCCATTTAAGCAGCGAGGTGAATGTTGCACGGCCTCTTCTAAATTTCCAGTTGGAACGGGTTCCGAGTGATTAAAACCTGACCCAGAGCTCCGAACATCCCAAGCACGTGGTGGTTTAGAAAACGAGCCTCAGCCTGTCTGAAGCACTGATGGCACCGTTTGATGCCCCTGACTTCGAACCAGACCTGCGGCCTCGGAGGGGATTCTCCTCGGGATCATTTCTTTCACTCAAAGTCTGGTCTCTTCAGCTGACGTCGGTGTTGGGCTGGGATCAATCAAACGGCACGGAAGAGGTCTTTGGGCTGCTTTGCATGGAAGCGACTCGGTTGTCCTGGAATTCAGTCCTGCTGGGTGAGACAACAAAGGAACGGGGTTGGATTTTGTGTGGGTTTTGGTTTGGGTGGTTTTTTCCTCCCCTTTATCCCTTGGGAAATTATGGATTGTAGATTCCCATTACTGTTCTCCGCTGGGAATTGGGGGAGAAGTGCCTTTTTTTTTTTTTTTAATGTTTACACAGAAAACTTTTGGGTGAATAGAGGGGGGAATATGTGGGCACCCGCCCACGGGGGGGGGCTGTAGCTGGTCTGTGAGAACTTTAACACCAGCTGCCCTGGAGAAACCTCAGCTCCTGTGGCTGGAGTAAACAGCGGGGACAAACTGAACTGGGATGCAGGGATCTGGTTGGATTGGTAATCCGGCCCGGGGGTAGCGGATCCACCAGGGTGATTTAATCTGCAAGGGCTGGGCAGTGGGTCCTCAGAAGGACACCTAGAGTCAGGCTGCCGACCATCAAACCGGCTGTGTGATCGTAGGACGGAGCTCTTCCTACGTGGCTCCAACCACATCTCATCGCCCAGCTTTCGGGACAAAGGGAGAGGTAGGAATTTTATAAACGGAGTAAATCTAATCTCAACTTCCAGCTGATGAAAAAACTGAGGCCAGAGGCAGGGTATAACTTTTATTTTAATCACTGTTGTGGATTCTCTCATTGAAAGCTCAATCTTTTAAGCTCCATCTTTTAAGATCAGGCTCAGTGAATGAAGTGCTGGGCGGAATTCCCTTGTCTGTTTGAAGTCACCAAGCGAAGCCTTGCATCTTCAACATAAACGACTTGTTTTTCAAGAGGGCAAGATGCTGTTTGAAATATTCTGCTTCGCGGGGAAACACAAGGTACTGCCCTTTACCGTGGCATAAAAAAAAGTGAAGGCAAAAGTGAGCAAGAGGGGGGATTCTGCTGTGGTTATGAACTTGGAAAATTGTGGAGAGGGGGAATTATTTTAACCTTTCAGCCCTGATTTTACACTGATTCTCCTATACAGCTGCTACGTTGACACAAGCAAATTTGGGCTTTGCGAGGTGCTGGCTCTGATGTCACCGGATCAGACGCAATGTGAGTTTGGGGGTGCACCCCCCCCCACACACACACCCCCCCCGAGGGGAGCTGCGATGCTGCCGGGGCCTTTGCGGTCCCTGGACCGGGGCTGTGTGCGAGCACGTGCTGGGGAACGGCACCGTGGGTGAATTAATTGATAAATTAAAG